ATCGTCAGTAACAACAACCCAACTACGAGTTTCAAGGCATCTCCGCAACGGCGCTCGCCGCCGACTTGCACACACGTTCATGAGAGAGGCTTGACTGCCCAGCTTTTTCACACTCAAACGCACTTTCCCTCTAAAAAACAAACGCTAATAAAGACGCGCCGAATTCACATTAACGGCACGACACGACAAAACCATCGTCGGACGCAAACGACGACACACGAGAACCAGAAGAAAAAAAGCAAAAAAAAAAATGATTGTCGGCAACACAAAAACAAAAGGTCGGGAAGCACCTTAATCTGTACGCTCACGCGGAGTTGCTGGAAACGCACCCAGGCAAAAAGGTTTATCGGAAAACGGCTACACGAAACGTCAAACGATGCGAACAACAAGTCTGCAGCGAAGGAGCCCCTTCCTCATCACGATTGGTGCCGGTCATCTCATGGTTCACTCCGGCACCGGCGAGGAAATGAAAGCACGACAGCATGCAGCGGATTCTCTGCTTTTTTAAGAACACGAAAGAAGTCACCGTCCATGCCCCTGCCTGAGTAGGGTGGTTGTCCTTAGACAGTCTCAGCCCAGGTTTAACCGTGCTTGCTTGGTGGCGACGTTGTGAAACGCGTGCTCGCAGCCGTTTCATGGACGAGGGGACTCACCGGACACTCGTGTTCTTGCCACAGTGACGGAGAGTGTACATTGGCGTGTCCTGCTCGCCTCAAAGTGCGAACAACAAGTGCGCGAATGAACACAACACCGCGGCGCGGCGCAAAGGCTTCAAGGGTTCCAGTCCCCCACAGAGTTTTCATCCCCACCTCACGGAGTCTCGGACTCCCTTTTCCTCTCTCGTTTCGACGAAGAAGACGCCAACATCAAAAGAACGGGCCGTGTTCTGCCTGAACAATAACCCTTTACGGACGGGGACAATACATTTCGTCGACAAGATCTTGGAAGAATAGTAAAGGGGGGGAGGGTCGAATAAAAACAGTTATTTGACACACGTCTGGTTGTCTAAAATCTCTACCACTACTTGATCCTGCTACTGTTCGGCTACCCGGAACTTTTTTTAGTATTCGAGTCCCCCCTTTACTATTTCGACGCCTATTCTGACGCCTGTGTACATGGTTACATCCCGTTGCTACCTGAGAAAGCACGTAAATTCACAAGGTCGACCCCCGCTGAAGTTCGGACTCTCCAGTCCACACCGCGTCGAAGGTAGCGTCAAGATTTGCTGATGTGAAGGGATGCGCTTCGATGCGGCTTTCCGTTCCGCAGCTTGGACAGTCCCCCTCTTACATATTTCTATTTTCTATTTTGCATCCCTTTCCTAGACGACATCTTCCTCGAAGAAGACTTGATGCTAGCAGTGCTCTGCCTAGACATTAAGCTAAGATTTCCCCCCATCCTCCTCCGTCCGTAAGGGGTTGAACCTAATTATCTCTCTGTCTCTCTGCAACTCATGAAATCAGCGGAGTTGGCGAACCTGTCGCTCCCCCCCTTCACTTCACATGCGGCCTGTCGGACGAAGCAGTCCCGATCCAGCCACTTTCCGCCCCGGAGCCTTGTCTGCGCCGGTGGACGAGGCAAGCAACGGCGTCGTCAAGCCAAAATAACACAAGGAAACCAACAATAAAAAAATGCTCCCTCGAAGAACGAAAAAGCGCAACTTTGAGCGAATGTCACGAAAACGCGTAACCCGAGAGTTCTTTTTTGCGATGACCAGTAACCACCTCTTTGTGAGCATGCTTGCTACAGCTAAAAACAAAGTCTCGGTGCGTCATTGAAGTTCAGTGTCTGTCATCCCGGCTTGTCAAAATGGAAAGCGAGACATGCAACTTACCGAAGCAGGTGAGTTCCGCTTGTGCCCACAAGCAAAAGAAAGCGCCATACTAACTCCCCCCCCCCCTTTTTTTCTTGTTCACGAGCCGAACCATCGTGCAGTATCACCGAATGAGTGCGAATGGCATACCCCACATGCTCGAAAGGCGGCTCAGTCGATGCCGCTGGATATGGTGGGGTCTCACACGAAAGGTAATGATAGCAACGAACAAATCGATTTCAACTGCTATTCCCGAACGAGTTAGTTGGAAATGTACGAAAACTCGCGAAGTTCTGCTGTCCGACCTCTCACCGGTGCCGGTGTGCGTCCGTCGAACGAGCACGAGTACCAGTTGGTTCTAGCTGAGGCACTGAACGGCCAGGCCCCACAACAAATCGTCGGGACCCGCCTCGTCGTCATGTGTTGCCCCCGCAGCTGCAAGCAAGCTTTAAAAGACAGCAATTGGGAGGATTCGCTGCAGCTAGCAGCAGTATTTTCACAACCCGCGTTCCAGACCGACCACCGTCCCCCACGACTTCCCAAGCACATCTAAAAGCCACGGATCGCTCCGCGACTTGCGCCCGCCGTAGTAGTACGGGATAGTAGTGGGGCGACCGGATACTCCTCGGAGAGATGGTCCCTGCACTCTAACTCGTCTCTCTCTCTCTCTCTCTAAAAAACTTCTCCCCCCCTTACTCAGAACATGCAAACAGCATCACCCTAGTAATCTCACCGCAACCTTCGCAAAGCAACCCTACCCTATGCTGGGAGCTCCATTCAACAAAAACCTACGCTTCCCCCTGACAAGGAAAATGCGTCTCCCGAAAATAGATGCCTTATGGGGGAGATGAGAAGTGAACCTTAGCTGCGGCTACACTATCACGATCGAAACCCCAGCTACACAAGTTCAAGGGATTTTCACGGATGGGTTGAGCTCTGCGGGGGGGAGACGGAAAAAAAACGCCGGAAACGCGAATACCACCGTACCTGGGGCGGCCGAGGAGGCGGCTTGGCGGCAGTAGTTGTCTTCTCTTGGGAACTGTGAAACCGTTGCAACCAACCGGACTGTTTGGCCCTTGGGTCCACAGTTCGGCGCAAGGGGGGCAAGGAGCACGTACACTTGTGCACCATTCCCAGTCACGCCAAGACGAAGAAGAAGAGAAGCTGCATGTATCCTACGTGCTGATGCACCGCTGCATGCTGTACTGCTAGTACGTGCTGCTGGTGGTACGCATCTACTACGTGTAGAGGATACATCAGTGCGTGCAAGCGAGTCGCGCGGTGCAAATGGGACCGGTGCGGTGTTGGGCACGGAACGTTCTTGCAATCCCCCCGCCCCCACCGCTCACACATCTTCCCAAACCTGCTCGTCTTGCCTCCTTTACCCAGCTGAGCGATACCACAAGTTAGGCTGTCCACGGTCCCCGCTCTGCGGGTGATTTTCATTCAGTGCATTCGCTGGATACTCCGATACGAACCTAACTAGTTGTGCCGCCCCTTTCGGACAAAAGAAAAATACGATGGCTTGATTCTGCGCTACTGTCCTCTAGCCTAGAAGGGCTTTGCTGAGCCGAGCCAACATTGATGATGATGGATGATGATGATAATGATGTTCTGCCCTAGGCATACATCCGATCCGACTCGTATGCGAGAATGATTCTCGCATTCTCGCATGAAATTCTCGCATATTCTCGCATGCGAGAATGATACGAGTGAAATACGAGAATGTGTAAACCACTCAAGAACCATGTATTTGACCCGTATTCGAGGCTCCGACAGGAATACCAAGTGAAGATAGCAAAAGAACGAAATAAGGCTATGCCAACTGCAGCTTTGTAGCTGGCATTGTGTCCTGCTTTCAAGACAAGGACACCTCAACACACTATGTTGTCAACAACAACTCTGGTTGCTCCATGGTATTGCTTTCAATGCTTGAATAATGGTCGAAACCATGCTTCACAACAAGTGCTCCGTCCGCCACCGTGCCTGCAACTTCTCCGCTGCGGCTTCTTGTGTTTTCTTCTACGATTTCCTCTGCCACAGCTCGTTTCGTGAAGCTGGCGGGTACCATTCAGTTGCCGCTGACTTAGGAGGCACCGGCTTTTTGAATATTGGCCTCGGGGCCGTTTGCAGGTGCATTATTAGGTTGCAGGCTCTCTGGATGGCAACGGTCCGCAGGTACGTCCGCGAGCCCTTGGCATCTAGCGAGCCCAGCGACAGCGAGTCAAGGAGACCTAATCCTCAAATAACGCTAAAAGCACAAGCAAATTCGGTTCCCGAGTTCATAAACAGCTTGAAAGCCTGCATCCACGAACACACGAAACGAACTGTGGCAGTGAAGGCAGAGGAGGAAAGGAAAGTTCACTACACAGAGAAAGCAGCAGCTTGAGAAGTTCGGAGGCCCAGTGCCGGCAAAATATGCCGCGGAAGCCTCGGAGATGATCTAAAACGCTGATTCCTGCCGGTTTCTCATATGTTCAAGCATGCTACTGTGAGTTATCTCATTCTCGCATATTCTCGCACGTGCGAGAATATGCGAGAAATGCGAGAATATGCGAGAAATGCGAGAATATGCGAGAATTTTGCGAGAATCGGGGCCGCGACCCCCCAATACGAGAATATGCGAGAATACGAGTCGTATCGGAGGTATGCCTAGGTGGGGGGGGCGACACATCCCACTTTGCGAGCGAAAGTGTACCGTGGAACCCACAACACGTGCGCAAAAGAGCTGCCCGAGTCACACCCGAAATGCTGCAACGAAAAAGCGTGTAAACGCACACCCGGAAAATGGGCATGGCACCTGCTTTTTCAGTTTCAGCTTTAACTCCACTTTCTTAGGTCGGTCACCCCCGTGTGAAGACGGTGCTCGTCCCCCTCCTCGTGGACTCAATTCAAGATCCGCGTCCGGCCGGGAAAAAAGGGCGCGTGGTACGGAGGTTGGTGATGCACAGCACATGCAGTAGGGCGGGGGTGTGGTTTAATGTCTGCAGCACATGCATTTACTTGTATCCGTGCATGTAGCCATCCGCCTAGATCCGGGGAGGCCACTTCAGCCCGGACCTGGCAGGTTGGCAGCGACACCTCCCCTCTTCGCACCGGCTTTTCCTCCCCGAGCGGAAGGCACATAAGTAGACTCGGCATGAGCGTAGAGCACAATCTTCCGTCTGAGTGCTTTTCACGACTTGACACTTTATGCAGAACCGGGGACGTTTCTTCAGTGCGCAGCATCTCGTGCGTGTGGCGGACTCTGAGTTGCCTCAGAGCTACCCGCCACCCCCGTGCAAAATTCACATAATATCTCAGCACACAAGTGTGCTGTATCAGATATTAAGCTGATAAGAACAGATACTACACTTGATCTTAGCAAAAAGGCCGAGAAGGTATGCCCAGAATCAGGAGAAAGCAAAAGCAGGTTGTGGATGATCAAGCGCGGATGATGCATGCTGAAGACAGGAAACAAGAAAAAGGGTCCGATTCCGAGCTTGACTCTCGTTCGTGCAAGGCGGCTACTTTGTACTTAGTCTTTCAATGGTTGATCGTCGTTGAACACGAAAAAGGAGGAGACTTCCCCCCCGGAGTTTCAAGCGAACATTTCACTCAAAAAAAGAGAAAACATTTTGCACAGCAACTCGTGGGGGCAAACCTGCTCCAAAAGCTTGTTCTGTTGACCACAAGTTACAACAGTGATGTCGACGTGCACCGACACGTTCAGCATACTTAACCTGGGAAGTTCCAGACACGGTCCACCATGATGCGATCTCCAGTACACAAATCCATCCACCATGATGCGATCTACAGTATACCAATCCGTCCAGCAAACTTCATTCAGTAAAAGCAGGTATTACGTACCAACCAGAGGACGAGTGGTCCACCACCATCCGACAAACTCCGGCATGCATCGTTTTAGGCTGCGCGCAATTCTCCCGACTGCAAGCCGTCAGGTTTATCGACACCCAAGTGCTACCATCAAGTTGCGCAGAACCGGTTTGGGACCTGGTCAACTTCATCACTAGTGGGCACAGACCTCATGCGAGCAGTCGGGATTGCTGCGGAACGAAATAAACCCGAAGCTTTTGCTTGCCCCCAAGGGTCCGCTGTCTTCGGCTGTCGGCCGTACCGTTAACCGCAATAGGTCTCCTAGGCTAAAAGCCTCTGCCGACAGAACAATGTAGGTAAGGGAAGTCGGCAAACTGGATCCCACCCTCCGGCAGTCCGACAGTGCTGCCACTGCCCATCGTACTTTCCGTTTTCTCGCCTCCTTCTTGTTTCTTGCTTCTTGTCCTTGTTCCTGTCTTCCACTTTTCCGTGTCCGGTTTCCGTTTCTGTATCCTACCTGCATGCTTCTGTTGTTTCTTCTTCTCCGCCTTGTTTTTCATTTTTTCCCGATTCGTTGCTTCTTCGTACGTCATCAATACAGTGGCCCCAAGGCTTCCCCCAGGCCAAGCAGCACCGTTGCATTTTTGGGCAACACTGTGAGCGATTCGCGGCTAAGGTGAGGCAGCTCACAAAGGCCTTGACCCGCGTCGCAGGCGGTGCAAGCAACGGGGGAGGCCGGACAAGCGGCCAGCGCATCGCCTTCTGCTGTCGCAGTGGCCTCCCGGTTCATCCCGCGTCGCCAGTCCTGCTTACCAGAAGTGGCCCACTTAGAACCAGGATTCTACGTAAGGGTTCAATGCAGTAACCCCCCCCTCTGCTCACGCCCATTTTAAAGTTTGAGAATAGGTCGAGGAAGCGATTTCCCAAATGCCTCCAACCATTCACTTTACCTGGCGTAACTCCTGTTTTGGTTCTAGCAATCCTGAGGACAACTTCGGGGTGAACCAGCTACTAGATGGTTCGATGGGTCTTTCGCCCCTGTACATCCAGAGTTAGAGTGGTTGTTGGTCATTTGTCACTTATTACTAGCAACAATTCCAACGGTCACGGGTTGCAACACGAACCGCGTGTAGCGGCTTGTGCAGTCTATCGTCGCAGATCGGTACTTCCGAAAGCAGCTGAAGACGAAGTGCGAAACCCGGCCTCAAGAGCGAAGACAAAGAAGCGAAGACAACACGGTCATCGCAAGCGCCGTACGGAAGTAACTATCGGCGCGCAACCGATGACGAGACAATCGAAGGAGAGAAGCGAAGCACCAAACGCGCGCCGGAGCGCGATGATCAAGAGGTATCCGCGATCGATTCTTTGCATTCTGACCCACCCTATCGCCGCAGATTGTGCTGCATATCAAGTTCAAACTTTCTACCACTACCGTACCAAACGCTATCGCCACTCCCATGCAGCTACACGGGCTTGAGGAGAAACAAAAAAAAAAAAAAGGCCGAGACAATGTCGAAGACCGGAAAGGTGAAGAGCTGGAAGAAGGGATACGGCTTCGCCGAGATGAAGGACGGCAAGCTCGTGTTCATCCACACGGACGCGATCGACGGTGGTAGGCTGCGAGTCGGGCTTCCCATCAAGTTCGACATCGAAGAAGTCGAGGGCCACGACGGAAAGGTGAAGGGCATTAACGTCACCGGCGAAGCCGTCCTCGCCAAGGGAGCGAAGTTGGTGTGTTTCTGCTCCTATTTTTGTATTCATACCTGCTTCGCAGGAAATACGGGAGGAGACTGCCAGTTGCGAGATCTCTTAGTGTGGTGCTCATCGACATGATGACGATGACTCCCCACACGAAACACGGGTCTCGTGGCGGGCATCCCTTGCCGCGTGTGTTCGTGTCATGCGTATTTGGCAAACGAACCCGATAGCAACGAATATTTTCTTGTAAAAGCCCCTGCTTTGTAGGGGATGCTTGAGGAGACTGCCAGTTGCGATAGATCAAAGGAGGTAAATGTGCTGTACCCCACACGAAGCACAGGGAACTCTGGGTTTAGTAGCGGGCGTAAGCGTTCAACAAAAATGACCCACTTTGTAGTTGTATTGTTTTCTCCCCCTCGAGCCTCCTCCTTCGAAATGAGCACAGGGGGAATAGTCGGCAGAGTACGCACTTTGAAGAGCTCCCGCGTGTGCTCGTCGAACTGGCTCGGATCAAGCCTGATTCAGCCTCTTTGACCTTTACAGACTATGCAGGAAAGTTGTCGTCGCTGTATCCAGAGGCCGTGTTGCTTCTGCGTCTGGCACTGACATTCCCCCTTGGCTTGGCGCAGTCCCTCGAGTATTTTTTGCGAAACCCCACAATTAACGCGTGTTCGACACTCGAGCCGAATGAAACAAAACCCACACAGAGCGACGAAGAGGTTGAGGCCGACAAGAAGAGATACGAGGAGATCAAAGCCGCGAGAGATGCCGAGAACCAGAAGGAATACGACCCCGTGTTCAAAGTTGTTTCAAAGCTCTCCCGTCGCGGAAAGTATGTTCCCTTTTTTTTGTGTTAGCAATGCATGTACCAATGAATGTCATCAGCGTACTGTAGTGCAGGACTGACCGTGAACGACTTGCTTCTGCGGAGCTTCAAGATGCGGCCCCGCATGAACAGAAACAGGGCGACTAGAGCGAGGAAGTAGGCGACCGAGAGGACGATGAGCGAGATGCGGGTGGCGGTCCAGTGGTCGCTTTCGTCCTTCGCCAGCACGCTTGGGTCTCACTCATGCTGGTGCCCGCCCACCCTCCTTGCGTTCTGCCCTGAGGCGCCACGGATGAGTTTGAATAGAGCATCTATTTGGTATCGGAAAGTAGGTGCGAGATCAGGCAAACCTTGTGCGCTAGCTTCGTTTAACCGACCCACATTCTCGCTTTCATTTCACCAACCCTGTGACAATTATCATCTTCACCGTTTCTGCCAACGCGACCTTTTCCGGAAGGAAACACACACGAGTTTCACTGGCAGCTAACTCGTTCTACTTGCACTCTTGTGAAGTTGCGTCTAAAAGTGGTGTCGGTCACGAATAGTCACGTACAAAAAGAACCCATTTGACGAAGATCGCCCGGAGACTCCGGACGAGCTGACGAAAAGCGAAAGTTCAGCCCTCCCCCCGCCCCCCAGTACTGGCCTGTCTGAAGACACTCAGGTTCCGCGCGGATGATGGTCCGCCTTCCAAGCACGTTCTTGCAATTCTCCTCTCTATAAAGTCCCGGATTCTTAAGCGAACTATAACTCCAAAACTCAAAGGCTCGCCCTGATCGACCGTTTGACAGCTGAGCTCGAGCTGAAGGACTGCGTGACATACAAGAACGCCGACGACAAGAGACAGGACCCGACCACGCGGTCGAAGGCGAGATACACCAAGGGTGAGTTCATCGCGTTCTACGGCAAGAGAGACGGCGAGAAAATGTGGAACGCCGCCGGCAGATTGACGAAGGTATGCCTGTCGCCCCTGCATCCGTAGCACGCAGCGCGGCTCGGGGCGCGCTACTAGCGCGTGCCGAAGAACGGAAGAACCTCTTGGAAGAATATGGAATGCGGGCGCGCGCTCAAATAAGTCGAATAGGCGGCAACAGGCAACAAAGACACACGCACGTGCCCTGCTGCTCTGCTACCAAACCACAATACGATACCGTTGGAGGAACCCTTTCGACGACGATCACCCGGAATTGTTTAAAGCCCCGGATCCTCGGGCGAACTTTCACTCTGAGAATAGTTGAAAAAGGCATTTGTTTGAACCAATCTACGAGATACCGCATCTGTGTATTCGGACATTTGTTTGAACCAATCTACGAGATACCGCATCTGTGTATTCGGACATTTGTTTGAACCAATCTACGAGATACCGCATCTGTGTATTCGGACATTTGTTTGAACCAATCTACGAGATACCGCATCTGTGTATTCGGACATTTGTTTGAACCAATCTACGAGATACCGCATCTGTGTATTCGGACATTTGTTTGAACCAATCTACGAGATACTGCATCTGTATTCAAATGTATCGATCTGCACTTCCGGCCAACCCAACAGAGACCGAGAAAGGAAGGCGAAAAGAACGACGCGAAGGAAGAAGCTGCGCAGTGATCGTCGCGCGTGCGAGCCTGCTGAACGCTGAGCCCCGCTCGACCGCCGACCAGTCGGGCGGCGCCCTCTGCAGCCCCTCCTTCTTCTTTCTCGCCCCGATCGCACTGAGCGACGATCCGCGGGCGTGCCGGTCACGACTCGAACGGAGAAACAGTCGTTTCCCCCGTCCCCCCCCGTCCTCTCCCGACCCTGATTCTCGGCCAGTCCACTCCTATCTTTGATAGATCCTGACGCTCCATGCTCGGCTTGCTGACTGGAATCCAGAATTCTGTGGCTGCCAGACTGCGCCTTTTGCCGAGAGAGCTGAGGCTCCCAAGCACGCGGAGCAGTGCTAACATCGGATACAACGCGAGGCAACCCGGGGGAGAGGAATTATGTCGTCCCCCCACAACGCCGTTTTCCCTGCCCGAGCAGGGAAGCTACACATACGCGCACCCAC